TGCCCACATAACATTTGGCTGTGAAAAGCAGCCAGGTTTCTGTCTGCCAGGGAGAGATGACTGGAACTTCAGGCACCCTTGTAAAGAGCCAGCGCACAACGTTTCTTGTGCAGCCACTCACCTTGGGCTCTGGTGGAGGGGGAGTGGAGTGAACTGGAGCTGTGTGGGGAGAGTCTGGGGAGAGTCATTCCCCCAGACTTTGGGGGACATCTTTCTCCGGAGGTGAATTTTAGGCTTTTGCCTGAGGGGGGAAGCAATTGCCCCACGATACTGGAGAGCCTCTCACCCTGCCCAGAGGAGTTTCTACAGCTTGAGGCTTAGAACCAGCTGCCCCACCATGTGGAGCTTCTACAGCCTGGGGCTCATTAGGAGAATCAGATTGATTAGTCTGCAGGCAGAGGCAGACCTCAGGGTGCTTTGAGTCTGTGCCTGATCTGCTTTGGGACCCGAGCCTTAGAAAAGCAGACTTTGGTGTGCATCTTGGTCCTGTTCTAACATACTCAGCCCCAGCAGTGGAGACCTCAAACCTGGGGTTGTTGATAGCCCCAAACAGGGTACTCAGGGCCAGTCACAAACTGCATCTGACATTGGCTTATACCAGAGACCCTCCAACAAGACAGAGTCCTAGCAGATCTACCTAATACTTAAAAACAAATCCAAAAAAGTAGCCAAAATGTGGAGACCAAAAAACAAGCCCCAAATGAAAGATTAAGAGAAGTCTCCAGAAAAAGAGCCAAATGAATGGAGATAAGCAATCTCTCAGATATAGAGTTCAGAATACTGATTGTAAGGATGTCAACAGCATGAAAAAAGATATGGAAACTATGAAAAATGACCAGTCAGAAATGAAGAAAAACATAGCAGAAATAAAGAATACACTTGAAGGAATAAACAGCAGATTAGAAGAAGCTTAGGATCGGATCAGTGAATTAGAAGACAGGGTAGAAAAAGTCAATCAGAGACCCAAATACAAAAAACAATTAAAAAACAGGAGGACAGTCTAAGGGAGCTGTGGGACAGGATAAAACATAACAATATTCGTATTATAGGAATGCCAGAGGAGGTCAAAAGCAAGCAGGGGTTAGAAAACCAGTCTGATGAAATAATGGCAGAAAACTTCCCTAACCTGGTCAAGGAAAAAGGTAACAAAAGTTCTGGAGGCACAGAGAGTCCCAAGCGAGAAGAATCCAAAGAGGCCCACGCCCAGACACATCATAATTAAAGTAACAAGAATCCAAGACAAAGAGAGAATCTTAAAGGAAGCTAGAGAAAAGCAATCTGTTACCTACAAAGAAGCCCCCATAAGGCTGTCATCTAACTTCTCATCAGAAACTCTTCAGGCCAGAAGGGAATGGCATGAAGTGTTCAAGGTAATGCAAAACAAAGATGTGAAACCAACACTACTCTATCCAGCAAGATTATCAATCAAGAGAGATGGTGAAATAAAGAGCTTCCCAGACAAAAAAAAAAAA